TGATACTGGGTGATTAAAATGACCCGTTATGTATCTATGGGATGAGACTTGCCATCCTGTAGGGGGAGAATCAGCCTGTAGTTTCATACATGGCTCCCTTCTTGGAATGTGGACATCCTTCCCTCCATGTGACTTCATGCATGAGGGGCTGGGCTATTGCTCTCTCCTGGACTTCACCTAGTAGAGAATACAGGTAAGGCTTTCCAAAGATCCCTTAAACCTGGAACCACTTAGAGACATGGACATATGATCTTAGTGTTGATCCAAGACTTCTATTGTAGCTCTACTATTAGAATTTAGTAAGCCCTGACAAAACAAACTCTTTTAAAATAGGACAAAACAGAGCTGCATCGTAACTCTATCTGAAAACATGTCTCTCAGTAAATTGGAATCACATTTGATAACCATGTGGCTTTTTAAAAAATAATTTATTTATTATTTTTATTTTATGTGTATGAGTGTATTGCCTGCATGTAGGTAAGTGCACCCATGTTGTGCAATGCCTGCAGAGGACACAAGAGGCTGTCGGATCCCCTGGAACTGGAGTTAAGGACAGTTGTTAGCTGCCATGTGGGTGCTGGGATTTGAACCCGGGTCTTCTGCAAGAACAACCAGTGTTCTTAACTGCTGAGCTGTCTCTCCAGCTCCGATAACCATGTGGCTTTTTATACTATGGTAATACAACTGTTTTATAATTCAAAGATGACGTCAGAGAGTGACTGAGTCTCTTGGCCCATAAATAGATTGGGGAGTGTACATTCATTCACTCAAACTGAGCATCGTCCTAGAATTCTTGGCTTTGTTTTCCAGGTTTTTGTTTTTTTTTTTATATCAGGTGGAGGTGTCATTTATTCTAGTCAGTGCCCTTTTGAGGGGCTTAAGTTTTCTTAAGATGCAAGTCTTGTCTTTAAAAACAATTAATAAAATTTATTTTTTTGTGTGTATGGGGTTCAAACTCAAGCCATCAGGCTTTGCAGCCCGCACCTTTACTTTCTGAGGCATCTGATAGCCCAAGAAAAAATACTTTTAAGTGACTCAAATATTATGGCCAAAGTTCCCATTGACCTTTCCTCCTACTTCTCCCTTTCTACAGCCTTAACAATCCCCAGGAGAGAGCGCTGTGAAAAGGCTGCACCCAGGCCTTCTTTATACTTTTTTTCCACACATGTAAATAACTCTGGGGTTCTGTTACATTTTAGTATCATACCACGGGGCTCTTTTGCATCTTGATGTTTTCATTACCGTCTTATATTTCTATGCTGTGCATAAATATAAACCTTGTGTTCTGAACACTACAAGTGGTCCATGTTATGGATGAACATCCTTTGTTTAGCTGTTTATCCTTTGTTTAGCCTAGAGACATTTTCCAGCCTTGAGTGAATAATTATGCTTTCTATAAGCAATATAAAAAAACAAATTTTATAGTTGAGTTGTTCCCCAATTAAGCTCAAATGACAGAAAGCATACTAATTTACTACTTACGAACTTGACCACGTTATCCACTTGTGCCTTGGTTCTTTTATCTGTAAAATGGAAATAAAAATGATGTCCATTTCATGGGTTCATGGGAAGGATTAAATGAATTACTGTGTGTGAAGTGCTCCGAGCAGCTCCTGGCTTCCATTGAGCGCTCTGTAAGGGCTTGCTATGAATTTAGAGCAGTACACTTGGTCAATACTCTGTTGATCTCATAGAATTGCTTTGACCTTTGGCATTTATTATCCTTCAGCCTATTTTGTAAGCACCACAGAAAAGCACTGCATTTTACTGAGCTCTGTTTACTGTAAGGGTGTCGTCATAAATATTGTTTACCCCATTACACAAAGTCCCTCTCTCAAAGCAAAGCAGTTCCTTGCTTGCTCAGGATTAGTTATGGCTCTCCTACATAGTCAGCTTGATTTCTCCAGAACTGACTGATCTGTGCTTTTTTAAGATCAGCTCTCACTATGTAGCCCAGGCTGGCCTCAAACTCATGATCCCCCTTGTTCAGCCTCCTGAGCCCGCATCTTTTAACATTGTGCTTCTTTTGTTTCTCTTCTTGGCTGCTAGAAGGGATCCAGTCTTCAACAATCTCTAGTATGTTATGAACTTGATGGCAAATGTTTTAGGTACTAACAGAACTTACGACTCTACCTTACTTTCTTACCCTTATTTCCTGTTCAGTTATTACAAATGGCTGCCTCTATAGGTGATTTCTGGGCAGACCTTTTTTTTATCATGAGGGTTTCTTTGGAATGAATTTTGCTATCAACTCAGCTAGTAACTGCTGTTGCCAGAGACCCCAGAGGCCCAGACAGAAGAGGTCCCGTAGGAGAACCACCAGGATGGGTGACCCCTGCATGACATCCTAGGGTGCTTCACTGTCAGGGGTCAGCGTGTAGGCAGGGCTTCAGTGGTACACACACAGTGTGAGACAGTAAGAAGATACGGAGCGAGGGAGGATCTGGGCATGATGCAGACTGTTTCCCGTGGGATAAGAACTTTTACCATTTATAGACTCCAAGGAATGCATGCCACACCTAGTGGACACTCAGGGAGGTCCAGGAGCAAAGATACGGAGCGAGGGAGGATCTGGGCATGATGCAGACTGTTTCCCGTGGGAAGCCTTAATTGGTGGGTTTAAAGAAAGCAGATATTAGATCTAGACCAAGAGATAGCAGCTACCTGCAGTTGGCAGGTGTCTAAATGGCCCCTCTGCAGGAGGTGGTCTGAAAAGAGAGAGAGATACTTCTGAATTATCACTCCAGCTAGAGGCATTTGGTGGAATATAGTATTGCAAACTGTGTCAGAGTGACTGAACCAAGTTAAGCCTGTATTTAAAAATAGATGCTAAGAGCTGGGGGCATGGTGTAACATGCCTGTAATCCCAGTACTCGATGGGCTAAGGGAGGAGGATTGCTGTGGGTTCAAGGCCAGCTTGAGCTATACAGTGAGTTGAACCCAGCCTGAGATACAGGGAGAAGTACTGCCTCCAACAAAACAAAACTCAACTTGATGGAAAAAAAATTGTAGCAGTCACTACAGGAACAGACCGAACCACTGAATACAGTGTAGTTTGTGTTGGGATTTGCTGGAGTCATGTGATTGAATCTACCTTTTACCCTTTGGCCTCCTTTCATCCACTTCCTACAAGTTTTGCCTCCAGTGCAGGGCAGTGTTATTTATAAATATTGTAGTTTGAGCCTTGAAGTCCAGTGCTGGGCAGTGCCATTCATAGACATGGTGGTTTTGGCCTTGGGGTCTAACATGCAGTGCCATTTGGGTGACTAGATGCTTTTCTTTCTGCCTGCTGACAATCTCCATTGTGAGTCCTTTAATAAGAAAATTTGACCTCTAAAGAATTGTTTTCCTATCTTACTGGGTTCTGAGAAAATGTAGGCTGTGATCTGTCTATGGATGCTAGGTGGAAAATTTGCCCATGTGAGAATGCCTAGAGTATTAATTAATGTAAAAGCAATAAACCGCCATCCACAAAGAAGTCATTGTTGATTGTGAAAGCCCTTTGTCTGTGGCAGGAAAGAGATTCTCTAACAGTGGATGAGATGTAGGCTTGAGCAGGACTGGAGGGAAAAGCAGTGGTGTGGCAGCAGGCACCATGCACTATCTAGAATGTGTGCCGGTCACAGCTCTGCCTGGGAAGTGCCCCAGGCTCAGCTGCCACTGTACAGGGCTTCAACAGAAAGCCAGCTCTTTTCTCAATTGTGAGGCTCCTGGGCTTGAATGCAGAATGCTCCATCCCTATGCTGTTCTAGGATGGGGAGTGGCTCTGTTGCCTATTCCCACCAAGGCAGTGCATTGACCCGTGAGTGAGATAAAGCGAAGAAGAAAGTGCTTTTCCTCATGAACACAAGATGGAAAGCCTATTCTCAAAGTTGAAATGTGGAGATAATGGGCTCAGGATAAGATGGGCCAATGCTGGGCCTCTCTGACCTGCCCATTTGGACGATTGTGATCTTCTCTGGGGTGTTAAACACCTGTCTCACAAATTGATCACTGATACCAGCCCAGCCCAGATTATCAGGATGACAACTCTCCTACTGAGCAATGATATCTGAGCTCTTAGACTGGCAACCTTCTGAGTGAGTAGTTGTGGACCCTTGCCTGGCTTCAGCCTTTTATTTGGCATGGAGGAAGTAACCATTGGTGGTTTGGGGGCCAATTCAGTGTCATTAGCAGTTCTCCTTGCCAAAACAGGGTGGACCAACCTGGAAAGTGACAGCTCCTGTATCTAGTTCAGAACAGTTTCTAAGATTCTCTTCTCTTCCACCATGCCATGTCTTCTCTTTCCTTTGTTTTTTTAGTTGCTAGTTACTTGGCAATCCTTACTTTCCTTCTGTTCAGATATTCGAGGTCCTCTGGGTGTTATTTATTTATATTCCTCTCAGAATGTGTCAGTGTAACTTACTGCTTCTCAGCGCTAGTTCTACATAAACATGGTGTATCACGAAGCTCTTATCAGGGGTAGGCCTAGGAAAGGAAGGAACATGTAAGTAGAGGAAGGACCCTGCAATTGGCATCCTCAGTTCCCTATACGACTGTGAGGCCCAGGGTGGGCCTTCGTGCTGTAGGGTGTCTTGAATCTGCAAGACTCTGGCAGGAAAGTTGCTCCACTTGTTCCTACATAGTTCCTTGGTAAGTGGTACCAACTCTCTGCCTCTTCAAAGAGAGGACCCTGTCAGAAGTTGTGCCTCCAGATGAACCAGACGGAGCATGCCCTGACCCATCAGGTCAAGCCCTGCTGGATGGGAGCTCTGTTGAGGCCCTCCTAACCAAAGATGAGATCATCAGGGTGATTGTGCCATCTTGCAAGACACACCTTTTAATGGCATGTGGCCTGGCTCTCCTTGGAGTTGTCCTGCGATCTGGCTTCCTGTTTGGGGGATTGGTTTTGCCCATGTAACCAGTGAACTGTTCTCATAAATTGCACACGTTATATACAGCATTTGGAAGTGGGCAGTGTTTTTCCAGCCTTTTAAGTGTATTCTTTGTGCCTTTTTCAGTCCCAGGTAAATCATCACAGTGCTGCCTGTAACGAAACCTACCAGGAACGCCTGGCACGGCTAGAAGGCGATAAAGAGTCTCTCATACTACAGGTGAGTTCCTTTGGATGAGAACCAAATTACCTGTTACCTCCTGCTCCAGAGCTTCCCTAAGTGAGGAAGGTATTGCAGGGGTAGGCGTCCTTTGCTGGAATTTTCATGCTCCCAAAGTGTGCTTTTCAAATAGGCTTTTTTTCTGAAAAGAAAAGAAAAAATAGGGGAGAAAGTAACCAGGGGCACAACTTAACTCTGTACTTGGCTTTGTGATGCTGTGAATCCATTTATTTATCATGCACTACCAAGCACCTGCCTCTGCAGACTGGAATCCTTATAGAGAGGCTGATGCTGGGTTGCTAGCAAGGAGTGATAAGGGCCCAATCCTCCTGAGCCCATGAGTCTGTTAAGGGAGATGAGATACATCCTTGAGTTACTCATAAAGCTGATCCTTGAGAGACACAGGCCTCAGGGAGCATGCTAATGGAATCCTTGAGTCTGAATCTGGATCTAGACAGCTCACTTAGATGTCAGATCCCTTGAGCTGGTAGCATGTAAGCTTTTGGTGGCTCTTTTACTCTAATGGAGGATCACTGAAATTTCTTGTAGAGAATGGGCACCAAAGCAGGCTCTCACTTTTGAAAGCCCATGTTTCCTGGTAGGACATAAAATTGGGCATTTTTCCAGAGAGTCTCGACTAAAGAAGCTCTTTGCTATGTTAGTTCTCAAATGCATAAATAGATTTAGCAAGCATATATTCAAGGTCTGGGATGTGTCACATATTAATTGTGAATATGTTTGGAGAATATAGAGATTAATGTCCTAATTTCAGCTTCTTAAAAAGCTTGAAGGATGATGAATAAGTCTAGTGGTAGAGGTTGGGGATGTAGCTCAGTTGGTAGAGTGCTTGCCTGATGTGTGTGAAGTCCTGGGTTCAACCCCCTGTACTGCGGTGGCGCACACTTGTGATCCCAGCAATTAGGAGGTGGAGGCAGGAAGATCAGGAGTTCAAGGTCATCCACAGGTACATAGTGAACTTGAGGCCAACCTGGGATACATGAGACTCTGCCTCAAAAAACAACCCCTCCCCCCCAGAAAAAAACACATCAAAAAAATCTTGTGGTGGACTGTAGGAGGGACAGCTGGGCTTGGAGCACTGGGGTTGTGAGTGAGGTGGCAGTGTGTTTATTCCTTTCTCTTTTTATTCTGTTTTATAAATATAAGATTAATCAATATTTTAAAACTATAGCAATTCTGAGACACTTTTACAAAGCAGATTAACACAGCCTTTGGCTACACCTCCCCCATTTCTTTTAAATAATAAACCTCATGTGAAGTATAAAATTGTTGTGTCCTAGTTCTGTTCTTTGCTTTACTTCATTTTTAAAAATAAGTCATTTTAAAGTAGTATCTACGACTTGACTGTTAGACACTGGTTTTAGATCCTGGAGATATATCAGTGAACAAAACAAGCCAAGGAGAGAGAGGGAGAGAGAGGGAGAGAGGGAGAGAGGGAGCGAGAGGGAGCGAGAGGGAGAGAGAGGGAGAAAGAACAAACTGAAACCAATTCCTAAAATATTTCAGGTGGTGATAAGTACCATGGAGAGAAAACCAAATCCAGATAAGCAGTGCAGTCAGGGAAGGGCTCCCTGAGAGGAGGATGGCTCAGGTACCTGGAGGAGCACATTCCAGGCTGAGGAGCTGGTCAGTCCAGCCCCTCAAAGAAGGGTTGGGAGCCACCTTGGGGAGGTTGAGAGGCTGCTTTTATAGCACAGATGTTTTAAAGGATCTGTCCTTTGAAGCTCCATCCCCAAGACATGGTTAATGAAAGATGTTCCAATTTAAACTTTTTCAGCGAGCAGTTTGAAATTATAAACTTTTGAACCAGGACCATTCTTGATCGAAATAACATATTGATATTTAGAGGGACTTGGAATGTCTTTCATATCCTGTGGAGTTTTTTTCCTAAAATTTTCTCTCTCTTTTTTTTTTTAATTTAAAAAAATTTTTTGGTCTTTAGCCCCAGCTGGCCTGAACTTGCTATGTAAACCAGGCTGGCCTTGAACTCGCAGAGATCCACCTGCCTCTGCCTCCCAAGTTCTGGGACTAAAGACATGCACCACCACGCCCAGCTTAATACTAATTTCTTGAATAACTCTCATTTAAATAACCCTAATACAATGGGGAAGCCTCTTAGCAGTTTGTGAGGAGTTGTGGACAGACTTTTAGAGTGGCTCTTCCATGCTCACTCCTGCCCCTGTTCCTTAGTGGCCTGTGGAGCTGGTTTTGTGATCCTTAGCAGGGCATAGCCTCTTGCTTAATCCATACCGCAGTTTAGTCAAACTGAACTAATTGGAGCCCTCGGCCCATGAGTCTGTTTGTAGAACAAAACCAGCCGTACCTAACAAAATACTGTGTTTCCAGGACTAACTGAAAAGCAAACCCTGCATATCTTCATTTTATAGTGTGGTTCCTTTGAGGCAAGGGCTTTTATACCTTTTCATTTCTGTATCCTCCTAGTGCCTAACATTGTGTGTAGTGTGGAGTAGTATACTAGGGCTCAAAAGTAATTGTTCCTATAGAATGACTGCCACATTCTGGAGTCTTTAGTCCCAGCTTTCCACACCTCTCCACTTATAATACTTGAGGGTCAGAAAGGCCCTGCATCCCTATGTCTTTAGTCCTGTGCACAGCTAAACTGTGAGCACTGCCAGCACATGGCCCCAAAGTATGGGGGCCATACTTGTAAATGTCAATCCATATAATGGGAGTAGCCATAGAACACCTTCCCAAACAGAAACTGTGAATCCCAGAAAGCAGACCATCACTTGAATCTCACACTTTGGAAAGTGCGGTTACTAGTTGGGAAATAGTGTTCAGCAGCAAAGCCTCAAAAACATAAAGCACACAAAAAAGCTTGTTTAATATGGTAGTCAATGGACGGAGTCCATTTTTGGATTATTGGATTTTGAGCACACCTTGTATCAAGTGCATGATTCACTCATCATTGAGGAGCCTAAAAGTACAACGTAAAGTCAAAGCCAAGTTCATTTGACTGTGTTCCTTTTAATATGAGACCCTTATAATTCATAAAGTTCATTTAAACACTCATAAATGAGCTTACATTAACGTCTTCATGCTTTGTCAGTATTACAGAATGGGAAAGTAGTTAAGGTAGTCTGTATGTAAAGGACCATGTCTCTAATCAAGAGGATCTCAATTTAGTAACCATTGATGTTTTATTGGGGGCAGTCACTTTCTTCTTCATCTTCCTTTGTCAAACTATCTCTTAAAAAAAGCCAGAAAGGATCCTGGTGTCAGTTGGCTAATAGGGAAGGCTATGGAAAGGTTATAGTGTGTATTTAGGACACACATAAATTACTTTGTATAAATGCATTTTTGTTAATTAATATTTCCAACAGAGAATCTGAGGGTTCCTCAGGAAATTTCTTTCTGCCACATACGTGCAGTATGGCTTTGGCGTATGTATGACTGAGAGTCGTGTTTTGGCCTGTGGAGCACAGAAACCCTCCTGGAGCCAAGTTTTGTCAGTGCCACTACATGCCCTTTACGTTCCACATTTCTTAATTACTTCAAAACACTTGCCTGATAGGTGAACAGTCCCCACACCCATATGAGAGAGGTAAGGTCATTGGTTGGTTTCCATAGAGGTTTGGATCACTCTTCCCCATGAGGTGGCAGAGCTCTGGCAAGAGCTAAGATATGCCTGGAGGTCGGGGTGCCTTATTAGAGGAAGAAGGAGCAGGAGTCCAGCCCAGAGGCAGGTCTCGTGCCTGTTGGGTGCTTTCCTCTTGAGTCTATCAAGAGCAGGAACCTGACTAGCATCATTAGATCGTGGTAAGAGACTTCCTGGTAAGGTAAGACTCCAACTGGGGTTTCCTTCCTTCAAGACACCCTCTCACCTCCACTCACCTAAAAGCAAGGCCATTTCTCAGGTGAGCCATATCGATTCCCTTTCACATCTTGGGGACTTCCCTGACTCACACACAGTCCCAGCTCTTCCACTGTTGCTTATGTTCTACAACAGGTGAGTGTCCTCACAGACCAAGTGGAAGCCCAAGGTGAGAAGATTCGGGACCTTGAAGTGTGTCTAGAAGGACACCAGGTGAAGCTCAATGCTGCCGAAGAGATGCTTCAGCAGGTAAGGGCAGGTGGGTGGAAGGCTGTGGGTCTGAAGCAGAGCTGGTATTCTAAGTCTCTTTATGAGTTCCTGCTTACTTTCCTGTGCTGCCTGGAGGTGGGGCTCGCTGTGCTCTGTGCAGTGTTTAGACAGCAGGTGAAACCAGCCTGAACGCCAGGGTGGTGCCAGACTGGGGAAGGGGAATAACCTGTTGAGCTGGTTAGGCAGATGGGGGGGGGGTGGCATGCGGGGTGGGGGGGCGCACTCACTCTCCAGCCTGGTTTGGTGAGCTCTGCTGGGCACCATGACTTCATCTTATCACAAGAGCCACAGTCAGCCAGTGGCAGCCTCTAGGCTTTCAGAAAGGCATCTTGTCAGCTTATTTTCTGCCTCTTCCCACATGCTCACCAAACTCCATCTCTCTGTAGTTTCCTTTGACAAAAACTATTACATAAATAGTATCTTATTGTAATTAGGGGCACCAAAAGAAAATGCAGTAGTTAGTTGCTTCATTATCTGTTAATGTTTTCTTGCTTCCTTTCTGTGGTACCATCATGTGTGCACATAATTTTCAAGACTGCAGGCAACAGAGATGCAGCCTAGTCCTCAGTTTTTGTATAATATAATACATATAATGTATATTATATAATGAGCTGTAGTTATTACGAAGAGGGGGCTGAATTTTTTGAATTTTTATCAAAAGATTTTTCAGAGTCTGTTGAGAATCTCACTGGACTTTTTATTAAATCTGTTCATAGATTTCCTTTGCTTCAGTCAGTCTTGTACTTTCAGTTGACTGATGCTTATCCATGTATGCTTTGTAGCTCTTGATGTGAGGCTTGATGGCCAACAGTTTACTTAAAGACCAACAGTCATTCCCTTAAAATCAATAAATTTACTTAGATGGCCGTTCATAAACCTTTTCCCCAAAGCTCCACCTTCTTTCTTGAAATGGTCACTATCAGCCTGTGATTCCAGATAATGTAGCAATGAACTCAGATTTTACATTCTCCTTTGGTCTTAAAGAGAAATTTCTTAAATCCAGTGTTTATTAGATTTGTTTGGGTGTATTTGAAGAATTTAAGGTGTGTGGGGAGGGGGACATAGGTCAGTATCTTTATGTACACATCTTCATAAAAACTAGTTCCATGGGTTGGGGGCTGTTATTATTTGCTGTCTTTTCACTACTGATTAATGAAATTCCCTATTCTTGGCCCCATTTGATTGTCTACTTAGGTTATATGCCATTTCTATAGCTTATAATATTCCCTGAAAAATTATGACTAGCAACAAAAGGTCTTTTTTAGACCAAAAAAAAAAAAAGCCTTTTGAAGACCTAGGAAAGAAAACAGTCCAATGGGGTGGGGGAGGGGATCTCAGATGACAGGAAAACATTTTCACAAAGATGCAGAAAACACACAGTAGGGCATGCTCTCAGGTCTGCACGGGGTGTGGTTTTCACAGGGAAGGACAAGGAAGGAGGATAAGAGACCATGAAAAGCTGAATGTGAAAGGGAACAGGTAAGAAAATGTCAGAAGGCTGATGTTTCAGGAAGGTGGTGCCTGGCCAGCTACACAGTCAGGGTGGCTGCATTGTAGTGCCAGAGTTGTCTGCCTGCCGGTTCTGACCCTGGACTGCTGCCCGTGTCTCCACGGCAGGGTTCCTGTCTATGTTAAGAAGTCTGACGGAAGTTGCCCAGCACCACCTGGGGAGAGGCTGGCTTCATTTTAGACTTTTAACAAACCTTAAGGCTGCTTATAAGGTTGATTACCTGTTTATTCTGTCTTCTTGCCTGTGTGCTTTTGATGTACATATGCCACAGAGGTGATGTCATGACGAGATGTATTTTGGAATAGGGTAGCCCATTCTTTGCCACATCTGGAACTTGACCAAGTTATTTTTGTGTCAGTATGTTCTCTCCATCTTTCAAGGCTAAAATTCATAAAAACCATGAGTTCAAGTTGTAGGACACATTTGAGCTTCAGTTCCTACTAGATGTTTGCTGGGCTTGATGGTACCAGATCTAAGTTCAGTGCTGTTGTTCTCCCAAGGTCTGTAAAGACCCTTGATTATTGCACCGCAGTGTTGATTCAGTGCCATTTACAGCTTAGAATACACACACACACACACACACACACACATGTATCCTCTGAGCTGAGGACAGGCAGACACTTGCCAAATTTGGCTGAGATATCCTGGGCTTCAGGGCTCTTGGCTTCTGGCAGTAGGAGTAAGAATGACTCATGGCCTAGAGGCAGAGAACAGAGCAACAATTGCCTCTTTCTGCCAGCCTCAGACTGTCCCTGCCCTGTTGCCCTATCAAACCTGGCCCATTGCTCAGAACAGACCCTTCCCTGTCTCCAGCAGAGCCTTCTTTCTGCCCAGGACCCAGCATTTCCTGATGTGCTGCACCAGATAACCCTGTGCACTAAAATGCCTCCTGTCTAAAGGTAGCAGCTATTATTCAGGACCAGTAACTGCCTTTGTAGACCCAGTAATGCTAAATAGTCCCACTTAAATTATTCTTTATTTGTTTATTTATATTTTTTGTGTATGAATGTTTTACCTGTACGGTACTGGCGTTAGGGACAGTTACTGGCCACCATATGGCTGCTAGGAACCAAACCTGTGTCCTCTGCAAGAGCAGTTAATGCTCTTAACCCCTGAGCCTTTTCTCCAGTTCCAATAGTCCCATTTTTTTTTCCATAAGGAGGTTAAAGATTTAAATATTAAGGTCTATCGACAACTCTTTTAAAATTTAAAATATACTGTGCGAATTACAGAGTACAAATCTATAGGTCATGCCTGGCCTGCAGACCTTCAGTCTGCACCCCATGTTCTCCCTCTCACTGGCTAGAGTTACACCAGGGAACTTAAGGAAACCCAGATACAATGAGCAAGACCAAACCCTGTGCTTTGTTGGGTTCCAGCAATGCCACTGAACACTAGCAGAGCTGGTATACCAGTGTTCACTTCCTTCCAGGAGCCCAAAAGAAAAGGGTTAGTCCTTCACCCAGCTCCTGGACCAGGCATGCCAAGCTTTGAGCAGTCCAGCTTCTGCTCGTGTGTATGAGTGTTTTGCCTGCATATATGTAATTGCACTACGTGTGTACAGTGCCCACAGAGGCTAGAAGAGGGTGTCATATTCCCTGGAACTGGAGTTACAAACAATTGTTAGCTGCTGTGTGGGTACTGGGAATTGAACCCAGGTCCCCTGGAAGAACAGCAAGTGTTGTTAACCTGAGCCATCTCTCCAGTCCCAGAAATGAAGCATTATTATTTTTTTTTTAAAGAGAATTAACCACAACCAGGTACATGATCTGGCAGGCACATACTTATGTCAGAGTAGTTAAGGCACTCTGCCATGAGTGAAGAAAATAGGCATTTCCAAATATACCATAAAACTCCCTCTGGAAGATTTATAAGGCATAAATACCCAGCTTCTTCAAGTTCAAATGTGTGTCTAGACTGCATTGCAGAATGGCAGAATGCTGCATTAACCTCCTTTGCCTGTCAGGCTGAGGTTCAGAGAGAAGACTCAGTCAGTCGGGAAAGAGGCTGGACTAAAGCCAGCGTTGGCTGTGAGACCCCCTTTCACCAGTGTTCCTCATGAGCTTGGCTTCCTGGCAAGGCCACAGCCTTTGACTTCAAAGGGCAAAGGTTCGTGGTTTTGCTTTCATGTCTTTCCACGGTCCATTCTTTCATTCTGGTTTCAGATTGCCAGGCTGGCTACAGCCTCTGTCATTGGTCAGTAATTCCCTGGGTCATGTTCCACACTTAAAGATGGAGGTAATTGCTTCAAGATGCGGCCCTCTAAGGAGGGAATAAGTTGAAAGGCAGATTCTTTTTATCAACTCCAGTCAGAATCTGAGCTTCGGAAGAAAGGAAATGGTTGCTCTGAGATGTCAACTTTCTTTCATCTCTGAGAAAGGAGATGTCATTTGTGCTTCTGGAAGAAGTTAGTGGCAACGACGAAAAGAAAGGGGCAGGTGATAATTTTGTCCATTCTGTTTTTTTCTAAAGCTTCATTACCCAGTTTCACAGTCCTTCACAGTAAGTGACACAAGTCCTCCGTACTCTCTCCCTCCTCCTCGCCCCCTTTCCTTTAACATGCAGCCAGCCTTGAAGCAATTAGGAGCAGGAAGCAGAATGCTATTTATGAAGCTTTTGTCCCTTGTCCTCAGCCTCCTACCTCCCTACCCACCTCCTCACCCCATAAATCATGGGAGGGAGCTGCAGGACTCTAGGAGGTACCAGTGGGGTCCCAGGTAGGTCAGGATGCTTGCACAGGGTTGTTGGTGCTGCAGATAGTGCTGGGAGTGACAGCTAGCAGGGATACAGGAATATTTTCCTGAAAGAGTAGTCAATGAAAGCAACCAGCAAAGAAGATAGAGAGAAAAATGAAAGGCCAGGGAAACCTGGCATGGAGGAGATTGGTAGCCAGGAATAGTATACACTGACTTGGGGAAGTGGAGTCAGCTAGACCCAGGAAGTATAAGCTGCATCTGAAGTTTAGATAATGGATCCCAGAAGCAAAGCTCATTGTGTCCTCTACTTGGGTGGAAGCTGGAGCCCCATTCGTTGCATGCAGTTAGACATCTTGTTGAGGCGTGAAAGGAAGGTGGGCAGCAGGGGTAGATTATCCTTTTATTTAACTAAATTAATTAGACTTTATTTATTTTTGGTCATTTTGAGTCAGGGTCTCCCTGTAGCCCCAGCTGGCTTCACTGTGTAGACTAGGTTGGCCTGGATCTTATAGGAATCCACCTGCCTCTGTCTCCTGAATGCTGGGATTAAAGGTGTGTACCACCACACCTGGCTAGATTATCCCTTATCCTTTTATAATGACCCTGCTGTGAACAAGAGAGGGAAGGGAAACCCCCCCGCCACCACCAATGTACTTGTCCAAGGAAAGGACCAGGGAGTTGGTGGTGGTAACTTCAGGGCAAGGAGAGGCCCAGAGAGAGGTGACTTTAGAATGTCAGAAATTTGATCGTGTTTATAGCCTGAGGAGTGGGAG